CAATGTAACTCAAACAGACTGCTGCAATGTAACTCAAACAGACTGCTACAATGTAACTCAAACAGACTGCTACAATGTAACTCAAACAGACTGCTACAATGTAACTCAAACAGACTGCTGCAATGTAACTCAAACAGACTGCTGCAATGTAACTCAAACAGACTGCTGCAATGTAACTCAAACAGACTGCTGCAATGTAACTCAAACAGACTGCTGCAATGTAACTCAAACAGACTGCTACAATGTAACTCAAACAGACTGCTGCAATGTAACTCAAACAGACTGCTACAATGTAACTCAGCCAGACTGCTGCAATGTAACTCAAACAGACTGCTGCAATGTAACTCAACCAGACTGCTACAATGGGTATAGCAGATATACAAACACAAGTAAAGGACCCTTCTCCCCGCCTTCAGGCGTACTGGGCACATAGGGCTAGATTTATATTTTGTAGAATAATCAGCACTCGATGGGTGATATGGTCAACATCATGCCGGCCACCTTTACTTCCCCAGATTTTGTTGGGTACTCACTGAAGATTGGATTAACCTGGAAGCCGAGGTCATTAAAAAAAACACGTTGGGTTCCATTTGGACTCAAACCCACCATTTGCTACATCAGGGTGACTGCCTCATATGTAACTCCAGAAGACAGCTACAACACGTATAACAGATGCAGATACAGTAAAGCATAAAACTGCTACAATCATCATCATCATCATCAGGTGCCTTGCCGACTGGTGTGGGCGATCATGCCTCTGCATAATCTGCGATCTCCTGCAGCATGTATCAGTTCGGGTGCCAACACACCTCCATGTCATGCAACAAGACTGTCAAGCATCTTCTCTTGTTGTCTTCGTCTATCCTTTTTTCCACAGATCTTTCCAGTGATCACAGCATGTTCTATTTTCCCTCTTCTCATAACATGGCCGAAAAATGATGACTGTCTCCTTCTGATGTCTGTGATAAGTTGTCTACAATATACCAGTAGAATCAGCAAAATAAACAAATGCTGCAATGTACTAACAAATATAAGATAGGAAGAAGCAATTCCAATCTACCAGATGATAGAACAAATAAAAACATATGCTTGCAGTTAATTCTGACCTATTTTCTCAATGGAATAAACTTTACACAATATTTACAGAAATCATTTATCTCTGTTTGTCTCTTCCTCCCTCCCTCTCTTTTTGTCCCTGTATTATATGTGTCTACTTTGTTCAAATTTACAACAGGGAAACTTTGCTGAGACATTTAAAGTTATCATTTTGAATCTCATGGCACTCTTATAAACTGCTTAGTCACTACCAAGTTTTTCCCGTCCTTCAGCTCCTCTTTTATCGCTTTGGGTGCTGAGAGACATATAAGGTTCTGCTAACAGTTACCTTTCTGAACAGGTTCGAGTGGAGCAAGAGGTGAGGAAAAGATGCTGACGCTGGATAGGACACATGCTGAGAAACAATTTAACTAGAAAGTCTTTGCACTGGAACCCACAGGGCCACAGAAATAAAGGAATACTAAAAAACACATAGAGAAGGGAGGTATAGAGAAGTTAAAAAGCTGGGGAGGACATGGGGAGAACTGCATGCGATAGCGAAGGATAGAATGACCGTGAGTGGACTGGGGGCCTATGCTCCACTGGGGGTTAGAAAGGCAGAAGAAGAAGAAGTTACACCCTGTAGAACATCTGCAGTAAGACATGAAGCTCACCTTTTTGTTCATGCTCTGAAGATCCAGAGAATCACAGTAATCTTTCAGTGCTGGGAATGGGTGGTCTAAGCGCAGATCTTCATGACTGTTGTCTGGGTGCGCCTCAATCACTGTGAGAAGGGAACATGTATAGAAAATATCAGCAAACAACAGTCAAATGTATGGCAATGACAAAAAGATTTGGTAACAGAACACAAAGACATCAGTACATACCTGTATGTTCCTTGAGCACCAAGCGTAGATAGCCAATTAACCCATAACACCGGCATACAAGCAGAGGGATGCTCCTGTCCCATAGCAGCTGTGCCAGATTCAGCAGGCTTCTGGGTAGACATAACAAAGCAACTCATGAACTTCATGTAGGAAAACTGTGTTCAGACAATACAATGACAGAAAGCTCACACAAATCATCAACAACCAGTAACTTCTTCTTTTGCATTCATCGTTAAAATGGCAGTTAGCACACTGTATTGTTGTTTACAGCTAGGCTGCAACAGTCGCCTTTTAACTCTTTTGAGTCCCAAGGAACGCATCATACGTTAATAGGTTCCTACCAAGAAGCCCAATGAAAGCAAGATGCACCGATTTTGCATGTCTCTTGACTACCCCTTAGACCTCTGATGCTAAACCCTTTGGGACTCAAAGAGTTATACCTGTTAGGGGGCAGTGGGTCTATTCCAGCCCCCAGTCATCACAGCCCCCAGTCATCATGAAGCCCCTAAACCCACATGGAAAAAGCCAAAGTTCAAACATAAGCCCTGGTTCTATCTATACAGTACAGTTCTAGTGTAACAAGCAACTGCCAGTCACTCCGGCATCCCAAGGTATTCACACATGTCTCAGAACCTATATCTCTGCTGCTTCCTATCTCTTCCTAATTTTTTCACATTTCAAGATTCAATGCTACACGGCTGTCAGGAAAGCAGACACATCACTGCTCTTCTGCAGTGTGCTTTGTTATAAAGGTATTTGAGTTACCTTTCCTTTGTAGTCAACAAAGCAGACTGAGAGAGGGATCTCTCGCTGCCTGGGTAACACATGGTCTCTACAATACTACCAGGTTTTGTGCTACAGAGAGGAGGGACTGCATCTGTAGCCTTCAGTGATTCCCTACAGCACAATGTAACATAAGCATCTGGAAAGATGAAAAAGTTATACACTTCTTATTCTTCTCAGCATTCACTGGCTGTAAACCCTGACAGACAGTTAAGGTTCTTCATCTATTTCTGGACTTTGACTATGTTCCAGAACGTAAGTTGTTTTGTGCGCACATCCATATGACAGATTTAGCTGTTATTTTTTTTGTTGGCTCCTCAGCTCTCAAGTAGATACACTCCAATTTTGAAGGAAACTTTCCTAATAAGTCACTTTGTACAAATTGCTTGCCTTGAAGGCAGTGGGTCTATTCTTTTGTCTCTGAAAATGGGTTCCTGAACCCACACAAAGAAACTCCCTATATGGAACAGGTTCAACATCACATTTCTGAACTCTCCGATAACACAAACAGACATGAACTGACACAGATGTAACCTGAATGTGCCAGTTCCACTACTAGGACTTAACTTTCAGGAAGCTGTGTTGCTATAACTGTTGTGAAGGATGTGAAGAATGCGGGGTTCTTCTGCAGTAGATCATCAACATTCTGGAAATCAGTGACAAAAACTTTCCTTAGAAGAGTGCAATGATAATGGTATATTCTACCAGACAATATGCAAGCATACTGAACAAATTTTTGCCTGGCATTTATTGTTGCATCTCATCTGATGCATATTACAGTAATAATTTATTTTGTACCTCTGAGTGATATAACTGTACTGTCCCTTTCGACAGCACAGCGGCGATATTTGCGCCTTTAGGCTGACATACCCGACTTCACCGAGCATTTGTTAACCGGGTTAACTTCCCGGATAGTTTTGTGAGACATTATGCAACCTTATTTGTGTAGCGTTCTCTTTGTTCCCTTACCTAACGGTGGTTCCCCTGGAGATCCCATCCAGGGGAACCATTTGTAGTCCGGTAGGTCCTCAAGGAAAGGCAGGGGCAGACCATGGGTATTCCCAGCCATCCAAAGAGACTTCCATAAATGCAGAGCTGACACATGACGCTCCAGTTCTGGACTCACCCAAGGAATCGTCACATCCTGCCCATGAATGCTTAACCTCACATCTGTATGTTGAGCTTCCCACTCGTCATGGGCAACAGGCTCTGGACATCAGCAGGGAGCAGTCTGCAGGTCCAGGAGTTCGATGACCACACAAAAAGGTGCATTCTTCTTCAGCTCCATTAGACATCTTTAACAGTGTTTCATCTGGACACAGCACGATTGTGGGGAACAAGCATGTATTAGGCAAGTTTTTCCCCTATTTGGTTCTGACACTCTGGCCAGTGGGGCAAATGGTAACGGACATTTGAACCTTTCTACCAAACAGTGGAACTTTGACGGTCAGACGTTTAAGACTTTGTTGTTTTGCCATATGACATGTATCTGACGCACATTTGAGCCAAATCAGCTGACTGTCAGTGGCAGATTGTTGTGGCGCACCTATATGCAGTGATGATGATACTGAGAGTCGACAAAGGATTACACAAACAGGGCTGTATCGTTAGATACCGCAAATAGGAGATGTTGCTTATCTAAGCTGTAAGCAAATCTCTTGGTCTAGGGCTGAGTCTCAACAGTTCAGTAGTTCTTTCACTCAACAGACATTTTAACTTAGGTTGTCATTTGGTAGTTAGTATATTTGGCTATCGGGCCTTACTGATCCCCTGCCTACTCAGTTTATCCTCATGCCATTATCTGTGGTGCATGATGAGGCGTTGCGAGTCCGACTCGTAATCCAACGTACCGCGATCGAAACCTGCGTGGGCTGCGTGGATTTTTATCGCAGGTCGACCCAGCCTCAAATGGGTACCAGGATGGGCTGTCCTGGGAAAGTAAAGACGGCCGGCGTAATGCTGACCACATTACCCACCGAGTGCCGATTGGTCTGTAAAAATATGGGTGCCCTTCCCATATGCCCGATTTGCCTAAAGGCGTTAAAAGGGATCTTTACTTTACTTTACTTATGATGAGGATGTAAGGCAGGAGCAAGTCCTGCATGCAGATCTGTAAAACCAGCACACAGCAAGCTGGTAACTGAAGTGAAGTGCTGAGTAACCCCTTACACACATCACAATGGCTTTAACCTTCCCTCACACCTGTGATCTGAATCACCACAGCACAGTAAGAAAATTATTTCTCAAGCTTGGGAAGAACTAAATATATTGCCCAGATATTGGAACTAACATGTTTCACAAACACAAAATCCAGAGGAAATGAGCCCCTACCTCTTCCAGGAAATCACCAGATACATCTTCATTCAACTCACTCAGAAGCTCTGTTGTCACCTGGGCTCGTGACTGGAGACGTAACAGATATAAAACATGTTCAGGGATACAACAGCATAAACATGAACAGTATAATGGTGATCTGCCCAGCAGACACAATGACAGAAAATAAAACATGGTTTCTTGTGTGCCAGAAACATTGTAGCTCCAGGGTTAGTTCATATATTCACAATCCACGACAAATCACTCTTAGATTTCTCCAGTGGGTGGTTACGAAAAAGACCTTTCTGTTTTTATACAGTGGTATACACAGGTCAATGCAGTTCCAATTTCACAGCAAATGGGTCATCCCATTGTTGCTTCATTCCTGTGCCAATGAAAACCACAGAGGATGTCCATCACAGTTCCTTGTTAAAACACTGACATAGGCTGCAGTATTAGCAAATCAAACAGAATACACGCAGATTTAATGCATAAGGCAGCAGTCAGGATTGCCAACACAAGCAGTCCGACACTAGAAATGCAGTTTATCGTCGACGGTAGCGGCAGTTACAAGAGATCTGTAGCTGCATAAGCAATTACTTAAACAAAGCACCATAAGTTCTCTGGCAACAGGCCACTCACAGTTTTCCTAATCTGCTGTTCACAACACAAACCACATCAGCCACAGCTGAAAGACATTTCAAATGAAATCCACAGCTCAAAGTATTGCACCATGCACTCTACTCTGTAGCGTGACAATGGAACTACATCCTTTCAGTCTACATTGTGAAGGAAATGCAACAGCTAACTACTGCCAAAAGCAAAAATGCACCATGATTAAAAATGGTAATCCTGCCAATATGGCAAACTGACTAGAAACTTCGCTATGCAAACTGCAAGAGGCTGGGATCTCAACGAGGAGTATTTCCAAAGAGTGTACATCTCCACTGCAATAAATCTTTATTGTAGAAACAACAACAAACAATTCTTTCCTAAACACTGGGCAGGTACAAACAGAACCAATGTCATTTAACTTTGCTGCTCTGTGGCTTAGAGATTAGCTAATGTGGCCAACAATTTCATAATACTCTAGTTCTAGGGTTTGTTTCTGGAATTAAAGTATACTATGCCCTTTAACATCTGCTAAAGTCAAAGTGTCTGTCTCGCAACACAAGATCAAAATATATAAAACGTTGATAAGACCAGTCATGTTATATGGCTCTGAAACTTGAAGCACATATAAAAGAGATGAAGCCTTATTACAGATTTTCGAAAACAGAGTCTTACGATGAATCTTTGGACCCATCAAAGATGCAAACAGCGGTGAATGGATAGTGAGAAGCAACAATGAAATTCATAATCTGTTTAAATCGCCACTGATCACTGGCATCATGAGAGTTAATAGACTGAAATGGTTGGGGCATATTAAAAGAATGTCAGATGACAGAGAAGTAAAAACTGTATACACAAGGGAGATGAATGATCGTAGACCATGAGGGAGACCAAGAAGACGATGGAGAGATAATATCCAGACAGACCTGCAAACACTTGGTGTTACCAACAGGAAAGAAAAGGCTAACCAGAGAGATGAAAGGAGGCGGATGATATCTGCAGCAATAAACCTCAAGGGATCGAAATGCTGAAGAAGAATGGGGTTTGTTCCTTGTGATGGACAGTGTTAAAAAAAAAAAATACTGTTCTTGTGGGTTTGAGGACAATAGTACGAGCATCGTACCATGGAAGAGACTGGAGCCTCCCCATGTAATACTCCCAAAGACAACAGTGGTAGACTGCAGCCAACCTTAACTAAAGAGACAGCACAGACATCTATGAGAAAAGGTCTCTGCAGACATGGCAATATATCTGCACTGACAGGGCCGTGTCACACCAACAAGTGACTAGATTTAGCCTTCTCGGGACAACACAGTTAAGTGGTGTTTCAGCGTTCTGGCCCTGTGTGGACAGCTATTAACTTGAAGGAACTGGTAATTTGCATCATCTTTCTAATGGTCCCTTGTGTTTCAATGTCCTGTACATACACTCAGTTCTGTTTTTTTTGGTTCTGATGCAATCTAGGGAAATTGTTAACACCTTACTCACTGTGGGATCACCTCACTCGCTGTGGGATCACCTCACTCGCTGTGGGATCACCTCACTGTGGGATCACCTTACTCACTGTGGATCACCTTACTCACTGTGGATCACCTCACTCACTGTGGGATCACCTCACTCGCTGTGGGATCACCTCACTCACTGTGGGATCTCACTCACGGTTGGATCACCTCACTCACGGTGGGATCACCTCACTCACTGTGGGATCACCTCACTCACTGTGGGATCACCTCACTCACTGTGGGATCACCTCACTCACTGTGGGATCACCTCACTCACTGTGGGATCACCTCACTCACTGTGGGATCACCTCACTCACTGTGGGATCACCTCACTCACGGTGGGATCACCTCACTCACTGTGGGATCACCTCACTGTGGGATCACCTCACTCACTGTGGGATCACCTCACTGTGGGATCATCTCACTGTGGGATCACCTTACTCACTGTGGGATCACCTTACTCACTGTGGGATCACCTTACTCACTGTGGGATCACCTCACTGTGGGATCATCTCACTGTGGGATCACCTCACTCACTGTGGAATCATCTCACTGTGGGATCACCTTACTCACTGTGGGATCATCTCACTGTGGGATCACCTCACTCACTGTGGGATCACCTCACTCACTGTGGGATCTCACTCAGGGTGGGATCACCTCACTCACTGTGGGATCACCTCACTGTGGGATCACCTCACTTACTGTGGGATCATCTCACTGTGGGATCACCTTACTCACTGTGGGATCATCTCACTGTGGGATCACCTCACTCACGGTGGGATCACCTCACTCACTGTGGGATCACCTCACTCACAGTGGGATCACCTCACTTACAGTGGGATCACCTCACTCACTGTGGGATCACCTCACTCACTGTGGGATCACCTCACTTGCTGTGGGATCACCTCACTCACAGTGGGATCACCTCACTTACAGTGGGATCACCTCACTCACTATGGGATCACCTCACTCACGGTGGGATCACAAGTACATTTAAAAAAAAAAGAATGGGACCATCATCAGGTTAAATTCCAAAACTACAAAATTGACCCAAATATTTAGATGTGGAACACAGAAGAAGAAAGACAATCCTTTATAAAACAAACAGAGAACATATGGTATGTCTCCAAACATTTGCTTCATCCCACACCTACATGACAAATCCTCCTAGTCTTCTCTTCTCTAGGAGAGCATTAGTTACTCACCTTTCCAACAGAATCCGCTGTCAGGAAGAAGCTGAAATGCAGTAAAAGAATGTTGGAATTATGAGCTGGTTTCAACTTAGCATGCAAACAATTCTTTTTCTTCTCTGCATTCAGCAGCCGTAAACTTCAGTGAAAAGTCCTGCTTGTTCATCCATGACTGAACTCTGGCATTGTTCCAGGCAAATTAGGGATGCATGGACATTCATTTTACAACTTTTATCTGCATGCAGACTGTTGGTTCCTGGCCTGTCAGGCAGATGTATGTAAGACTATGAAGGAAACGTCAATCTTATCTACCGTGGCCCCTATCCCCAGTGCAAACCTGTGTCTAGGATGATTACAAAGCAAACTGAGTGCTGGTCCTAACACACCACCACGACAGAGGTTTCATCACCTCTGCATCCCATACAAACAGTAACATGAGTATAATCTACTTGGGCCAGTAAAATCAGAAAGAAAGAAAGAAACAAAGAAACAAACAAAGAGAAATCACTAGCAAGGACAGATGGTTTGCTAACAGGCAGTCATCGCCAATCAGCAGTAATTAATAGAATGTAGCTCTCATCACGGCACACCTGAAAAACTCTTTTTCTCTACTCAGTGAGTACCTGCCAGGGTCAGTGAGTACCTGCCAGGGTCAGTAAGTACCTGCCAGGGTCAGTAAGTACCCTGCTCTGTGATGCTACTGCTAACAAAAGATAGTATTGCAGAGGTGTCTGTTTAACCAGTGAATACTTGGTCCACAAGACAATCTCAGCCGCACAAACGTGCGTCCCCATTCTCCACCGGGAATAGGTGCAGTTGGGATTTTCCCCTTCATCGAAATATGAGACGAGGGTGGCATTTCCCCCGCTCTCTAAGTAAACGGGCAGTAGGCATTCTAAACATGGCTTGTAAAACAGCCAAAGTCCAAATAGACGAACAACCAGGACTTTCTGCCAGAGCTTACAGCTGGTGAACAGTGAAGAAGAAAGATTACATCACATGTGTGAAATATGTGAGAAGTATTGATGATACCCATGTTGTTCTTTCTTGAGTTTGATACAATTCTGTGAGCTGACATGGTTGCAGTTCCGAGGTTTCCTATTTGATCTAACTATAAGGGACCTAGTATAAAGGCTTTTAACTCAACACCTTTGTAATTAGCATATAAATTTGTTCTCTCTCTCTCTCTTTTCTTCTTCATATTCGCTTTCTTTTTCTCTGCTATCTATCTATTCTCACAACCAACCTCAGCATATGTTTAAATATCTCCCTCACGTCCAACTTTCTCACTCTCTCTCTCTCTCACACACACACACACATATGCCTAGCCCCACACAGATCTCAAATCAAGGACACTTACTTGTTGCCAACATCCTCGCCTTGCACCTTGTTACCATCAACAATTGTGAAGGATCCGATACCTGTCAGGTGAACAGACAGCAAAACATTATTTGAACAGAACCCTGATGTTTCTCTCCTCCATGATATAAAGCCTGGACATATCATCAAGAAACCAGGCTTTGCATATAGAACATAATCCCTCCATGGGCCTGCATTGTTTACTGCAAAGATATAACTCCAACACGTTTAGAACATAATCCCTCCCTGGACCTGCATTGTTTACTGCAAAGATATAACTCCAACACGTTTAGAACATAATCCCTCCCTGGACCTGCATTGTTTACTGCAAAGATAACTCCAACACGTTTAGAACAAAGCATGCTACAGAAACTGTCAGAACAGAAGAGTGTGCTCTGCCTGCACCCCCCCCCCCCCCACCCCCCTGAAGCCATTGGCATAGAATGGGATGTTAGATTTTGTATATGCCGCTTCTCTCCTATTAACATGCTCAATATTTACGTGCAACCCTTAATATGTCATTTTGTCCAAAGGAAAGCAGAGAAGAAACTACTTAAAAAATGCAAGTTCAAGTCAAAATAGTTTCGACTGCTTTAACTGTATAGGAATACCTTCCTCACAAACATAATTAAATGATTTGTATTTTACCTGGCAGAATGAGATTTTTGAGAATTTCTGTTCCGGTAGCCGAAGCATTGATGAGGCAGACCCGAGCCGTCTCTAAAGCCGCCTGCCCATGATCACCCCAGAGTCTGGATGTAACAATAGCAACAACAAATTACTGACCCAAGCATCACAACCATGACGTAAACCAATCAATCAGCATGTCCTTTACAGAAAGTCACTCTCTAACAGCACATACGAACATCTTTATTTCTCGAACCAATTTTCCAGTCCTGTCTGCTTTTATAGCCATTGCATCTTTCATGTACCCTACATCACCGTTTGATCTCTACCTCGTCTGCCAGAAACTGTACCCTACATCACCGTTTGATCTCTACCTCGTCTGCCAGAAACTGTACCCTACATCACCGTTTGATCTCTACCTCATCTGCCAGAAACTGTACCCTACATCACCGTTTGATCTCTACCTCGTCTGCCAGAAACTGTACCCTACATCACCGTTTGATCTCTACCTCGTCTGCCAGAAACTGTACCCTAAATCACCATTTGATCTCTACCTCGTCTGCCAGAAACTGTCCCTGCATCACCATTTGATCTCTACCTTGTCTGGCAGAAACTGTACCCTGCATCACCGTTTGATCTCTACCTCATCTGCCAGAAACTGTACCCTACATCACCGTTTGATCTCTACCTCATCTGCCAGAAACTGTACCCTACATCACCGTTTGATCTCTACCTCGTCTGGCAGAAACTGTACCCTACATCACCATTTGATCTCTACCTCATCTGCCAGAAACTGTACCCTGCATCACCATTTGATCTCTACCTCGTCTGCCAGAAACTGTATCCTACATCACCATTTGATCTCTACCTCGTCTGCCAGAAACTGTACCCTGCATCACCATTTGATCTCTACCTCGTCTGCCAGAAACTGTATCCTACATCACCATTTGATCTCTACCTCGTTTGCCAGAAACTGTACCCTGCATCACCATTTGATCTCTACCTCATCTGCCAGAAAGTTTACCCTCCATCAGTATTTGATCTCTACCTCGTCTGCCAGAAACTGTATCCTACATCACCATTTGATCTCTACCTCGTCTGCCAGAAACTGTACCCTGCATCACCATTTGATCTCTACCTTGTCTGCCAGAAACTGTACCCTGCATCACCATTTGATCTCTACCTCGTCTGCCAGAAACTGTACCCTGCATCACCATTTGATCTCTACCTCATCTGCCAGAAACTGTACCCTGCATCACCATTTGATCTCTACCTCATCTGCCAGAAACTGTACCCTGCATCACCATTTGATCTCTACCTTGTCTGCCAGAAACTGTACCCTACATCTCCATATTATCTCTACCTCATCTGACAGAAACTGTACCCTGCATCACCATTTGATCTCTACCTCGTCTGCCAGAAACCGTAACCTAAATCACCGTTCTCTCTAGACCACCATGGCACTTGACACATCTAAAACACCTCAGCTTCTGGGAGAGGATTTTCTTTATCAGCCAGTTCTCCTTGATGTTCAGGCCAAGCAGGATGTCAACATGTTTCTTCTGCTTGGTCCATGGTTCTCTAAGAATGTTTCTGTAGCATTTCCTTTTAAAAGCTCCAATTTTCTTTTTTCAAAGACTGAGTGAGTCCATGACTCACCTCCATAAGTTGCCACAGGAAAAATGCATGACTGCAAAATGGCATAGGCTTTAGAATTGAAATACAATTAAACATTCACATGATATTCTTCTTCTTCTTCTTCTTCTTCTTCTTCTTCTTCTTCTTCTTCTTCTTCTTCTTCTCTATCACCTGTCACTCTCCCTGCACCATCAACTCACCTTTAGTTAGTCAAAAAACCATTGGAGGTCTCTGACCCTTCTGATCATCTGAATTGTCAAGTTAAATTCCTTCTGCCCTTAGTAGTATGATTGTAACTTCTTTAGACTCAAACACTGCTTACTTCTTCGTCGCCTCCTCCAGTCGACTACTGGCACTCAGCTTGAGGTGAGAGCCCTGGTCTGTGCCAGCTAGATGCTGATATTTACCGCCTCAGATTCGCTTACTCTCGATTCTCAGGATATAAGGAGTTCGATAATGATAGGCTGCTACCAAAGGAGATATAGGCTGCATTTGGTTGAGGTTTACAACCAAACAATCCAATTTCTACAAATCCTTGATTAGTTGCCTTTTGGAATGTGCCTGTTAAGGGGTTGTTGGTCAACTGTTTCTCCCCAAAAGTGCCTAGATGCCCACCTGCGGACTGGAAGGTTGGGGGGTTCAGGCCCTGACAGAGCCAAACTTTTGGGAAGTAAAGGTGGCTGGTGTAAGGGTGAGCACATCACCCACTGAGTGCTGATTTGTCTACAAAATATAGGTCTAGTTGGGTCCTGTATATGGCCAAAACCCCATCGATATATTTATACAAGCTTCACAGCAAACTAAACCATGAACAGGGACAATAATTCTACAACTATACCTTGGGTTAGCAGAGGAGCACCTACCCACTACACTCCCGCAGCTCTCAAGAAAACTACTGGAATTCCACATATAAAGACTGTATTCAGGATGTTATGAGTCAGTGTTTTAGCTATTCTAGTTTATTTCTGCATCTATATATATATATATATATATATATATATACTATATATATATATATATATATATATATATAGCTATATATATATATATATATATATATTTATATTTATATTTATATGTATGTCATATGCATAACTAAGTATTCTTGTAGTTCCTTCTATATTAAAACCTTCTTTCACTTTCCTTATAATTAACTCTAGGATCAAGTTGAAGAGAAGCGGGCATAGGGCATCACCTTGCCGCTGTGGGGACTTGCTTTTCTCAAGACCCTGAGAGCTATGCCAGCGGTAGCATAGCAACAAGCAGGACCTGTCTGCTCTTCAAGGTTGGGGGCTGAAGCATGGGAAATTTCATTTCACCTGGGAAATGAATATCTAAGCCTGGATTCTGGATAGATTTCAAAGGACAATGCAGGAATGTTGAAGGACTTTTGTGATGTGGAACATAAAATGTGCTATTCCTTTACAGACCTAAATCAGCTTAAGAAGTGGCCCGTAAACTCTCAGATGACAGAACTGATGAACAATTCAAGAAATAAGGTGGTCAGGACAAAGTACCATAACCATATATTGTAATTATTTTTATATGATGATAGAAGAAAATAGAATTCATTTAGTAAAATAAAATATATAATATTATATGGAGGAAACACTAAAACAAATATGAACTAAACTAGGTACAGCATTTGTCATGGAGAAAAAGTTATGGCAAAGCATTATACATGTTGAAACTATTAATGACAGAATCAGTAAGTTACGTTAGAAAGGAAAATGTAAAGTAACCCACTGCTAGTAGCAGAAGCAGTTTTTTAACAGAAAATCCGGCTCTCCTGTCAAATCCGGACGAAGAATAAAAAGCCTTGGACGACTTAGTCAGAGTTCTCTCCCTTGGCCGCACTCCAAACAGAGATCGGAAAACAAACGAAACAAACGACACACTTACCTATCATCCTGCGGTTGCGTGTAGGGCTGCGTACGGTTGCGTGAGGCATTGTGAATGGTTGTGTAGTCATCATCATGCGGTTGTTGGATTAGAGTTAGGGGTAGGGTTAGGGGTAGGGTTAGGGTTAGGGGTAGGGTTAGGGGTAGGGTTAGGGGTAGGGTTAGGGTTATTGGTAGGGTTAGGGTTAGATGTGAAAATTTTGACGTAGGATTTCGAAATACTGGCCGACAATATGATGTTTGTGGGAGTGGCGCCACTGAAATTCTGCCAAATATGACGCCAATAGCGTGCGGCTGGTGCCCCCCAATCGTTGGCGAATTGTGCGTTTGACCAGCATCCAGAGGCCCTCGATTGTTTGTGTGTGTGTATGGGACTGTGCGCGATTATAGGGAACTCCGGCGTTAAAATTGTCAAATCTAACGCTAAACCTAACCCTACCGCTAACCCTAATCCTAATCCTACTCCCTAACCCCTACCCCCTAACCACGCAAATTTATCGATCATTAAAGCATACAAATCGGCAAACACCAACAAACAAAACACACCCAAAAAAAAACACCCAGAATTGTCCTGCAGCGTCGAAAAAAAAAACAGATCTGGGGGAAACAACCAAGCATTGGCAGCCCTGATGTCGACGTGACTGTCTTCTTTGTTTTGTTGTGGCTTTTCCGATCACTGTTTGGAGTGCGGCCACGGGAGAGAACTCTGACTAAGTAGTCCAAGGCTTTTTAGTCTTCGTCCGGATTTGACAGGAGTACCATTTTTGGAAATCCAGTCTGGCACTGACGTACGTTCAAGGAGCAGTCAATTTTTTGTCGGCTAGGTATCTATCTTAATTCATTGACAATTACGTCTATTAAATAAATATAAACCTATTAAATGCCAGACATCAGTAGACAACCATGATCTAACCTCAGTTGACGGTCGTATTTATTGTTTTTGTCGATGCCAGGGGTACCCTTCTTGTTGTCAGCTGCCATCTTTGAGACGTCTGCTTGTCTCTCAGGGGAAGTTACTCCCATCTTGCCTCTGCCTTCTGCTGCTTGGTCACAGATTTCTGGAGGCGCCATCGACTCAAGTTTGAAGTTAGGATAAGAACAAGAAAGTTGTCTCTACATTTAATTAATATACATCTTTCAGATGACCACGTAGAGTGCAATTTACACGACTTGGTATCCGATAATTGCAATGGTTCAGATTACTATTCAAATGTAAGTATGAAATCGAAACCAGCTTTGCCTCTTTCCTATTCAAGCTTTGGCTATCTTCCGAATAACGGTCCCACAGTATGTATCGAGGCAAAAAATTTACCCTAGGAGGGCCTCAGTCACGTATCAGTTGAGGGATATCAAAATAAAGGCACACCAAAAACACGTGGAAGGGACCTAGAGAGTGACGTTAAACAGATAGAGACAACATGGTTTTAGTAGCTACTTCAGCCAAATTTTTAAAATGCCCTCTACGCCAATAAAACCAGCACAGTTAGATAGCTGTAAACAATCTCTTTCCAATGGTACCTCATTTAGGCTTGTATGTCATTTCTGACCTGAGATATGTAGGTTTTTGTGGAGATGAGATGTAAGAAACAGCCGCTAAAACTCGTGACCCAGAAACAAGAAGTTTTTCTCTGCGCAACCTACTGCGCAGTTCTGTATCGGCTTTGTTTACATTGGACTGTCATTGGACAAGATGGCAGGCAATGAGACTCAGCCACTGGCTGAGCCAGCGATTGCCTAAAAAATGTCTCTGTACATCTACCTAGCCACCGTTCAGTAAGAAATTTTGTATACAAATGTAAAATTGGACGGATAATTCAATTATAACTAGCATTACCAGGACGAGTAACAGTTAAAGCCTAAAGCCAACCTGAAAAACTTATCGCTATTTTCAATCAAACTGATGTAACAGAAAAACAGAGGACGTCCGGCTGTCGTAGACATGCGCTGTTAATCGGATCCGTTCCCGCCGTTTTCAGCCATTTAGAGTGGGTGAAAATCACACCAATCGCAAAATTTCATGAGAGATTAGGACCCATCCCGAAACCCCAGCCAACCTTTGCGAAGCAAGTTTCGAACGGTTTCCAGGGTAACGGAAATTGTCAAAAGACCGCAAATTGCCGAACACCATAGTCGCTAGATATAGCAGGGCGTAAAGTAAAAGGCAGAGAAAGAGAAACGGAGATTCGTGAACTAGAAGACTGTTTTATTTACCATGATCTGTGGGTAGCAGAAACGTGGTGCTCCATAAGACAGTGTAGTCGCTTATTCTTATTTTTCATAGGCTCTCCTCCGAACTTCAACCCGATATTATGGCGGCCATAAAATATCCTTACGGGGCGCAGGCATATGTAAAATGCGGACTTTCTGCCAAGGAACAAATCGTGGATAAACTAGAATTACTTGACAGTTACAAGAGACGCAACATTGCAGACGATAATAGCATGCGCAAAACACGATTAAACTCACCGCCAAGCGTATCTCCCACGCCGCTACGCGCGGCGCAGAGTGGGGGGTCAACTAGGTGCCTTGGACTCACGAGCAAATTAACTGGAGGAAGTTGCAGGAGATGCGGTAGCTGCTGCTCGTGAGTCCTAGCCATCTAGTTTAGTCCCCATCCGCGAAGCGCGGGGGATACGGTCGACGGTGAGGCATAGTCACAGAAACAGGTCCGCAAGTAACATATCGCTGAGACCCTGTTAGAGCATTTGTTTCGTTATACAGAGCCGGCATATTTTTAATAAAACTGAGCCCCGTAAGGATATTTTATGGCCGCCATAATATCGGGTTGAAGTTCGGAGGAAAGCCTTTTCATATTTTCTTGACTGAACACAAAGTGCTCTCTCCTTGCAAATTTATTTTTACTGTTCCATAAATGCACCCTCTTTCCAGTGGAAATGATTTGAGTCAGATAAGACATACATAATTTGACAGTATCTTCCTCAAATGCTTCCATCAGTGAGAGGATTGTGTGTGTGGCCTCAGGAAGACATTATGTGTCCTCTGTACTTGTTGCAATAATACAGACATTATGTATTCTGTGTACTTTTTGCAATGATACAGACATTATGTGTCCTGTGTACTTGTTGCAATGATACAGACATTATGTGTCCTGTGTACTTGTTGCAATGATACAGACATTATGTGTCCTATGTACTTGTTGCAATTATACAGACATTATGTATTCTGTGTACTTTTTGCAATGATACAGACATTATGTGTCCTGTGTACTTGTTGCAATGATACAGACATTATGTGTTTTATGTACTTGTTGCAATTATACGACATTATGTGTCCTGTGTACTTGTTTGCAATGATTTTATCCATGCAATATATTTATTCAGCCCTGGTGAGAGTGGTTGCTGCAGCGAGTGGGCAATCATAGAACTGCAAGGAGCCCTAGAAACCAGACACCCGGTTCCTCTGAGTGGAAAGTTCATTGGAGATCTTCATTTTACAGACAAGGTAATGCCAAGGTCATATCTTCTCCACCCCCGTGTGGGTTCCGGGGCCCCATTGTGGGGGGAAACAAGAATAGACCCACTGCCTCCCCAAAAGAGTCGACTAATTGGGGAGCTTCCTTTGAAGTCGGAGTGCATCTGCCGGAGAGGCAAGAAACCAACAGTCTGTATTCAAGAGAATGAGATCTGTAAAACTGATGCACACGCAACACTCAGGTTCTGGAGCAGGACTGCAGTTCAGAAGTGGACGAGCAACCAGAACTTTCCGCCAGAGTGTACAGCTGGTGAACGCGAAGAAGAAGAAGAAGAAATCTTCTCCATTGTGGCTGTAATACCATTCATATATTCACTGTTATGATAGAAATATATTTTAGCTATTGCACTGTAGTGCTTCCCCATTTGGGTTGTGGGGCTGCATTGTGGGGTAAAGATACAGAATATAGACTCACTGCCCTTCTAACAGGCGTGTTGTCAAAGTAGAATAGGAGTTTGCTGAGATCAGATGTGGTGGGTCAAGAGACACAGATGTTGCAGCCTTGCTGTAAACCACAACACAGTTTACTAACCACTCTTTTAAAGGTGAATGCAGAAGGAGACTGTACAGCTAATCACACTTTTAGTTTTATGAAAGTGAAGGCCTTGGTACATTTATTCTTTGAACTGTACTGTCATTTACACAGTTGCTGTTGTAATCATAATGCATTGATACATTTTATTATTTTGACTAATATCACTCCTGGTATGGCTATAACTGGTTTGACTGTGTTGGCATTTTTCTTTTTTGGTGTTCTCTTGTTTTATGTTTTGTGAACAGATTATTCAACATTTTTTCCCCAGTTTGTTGGAGTGATTAAGACTGTTCAATTGTGGGCTTGTTTATATGTTCACAATAAATATTTGTGTAAAATGTAATTATTTCCTTCTTCAACAACTGCTTCCTCTTCTGTCAGTCAGATGTTAGGTGTCAGTTGATATTGAAATCTTGTTGAAAAAATACACTCTCTCTTCACCCTCTCTCTCTCTCTCTCTCCCATCCCCTATCTCTCTCACCTAACTTCTGCTCCTTTTCTTTGAATGCCTCCTCATGTGTTGTAAGTCAGTTTCTTTGTTTGTTTCATGTAATCCAGGTGTCAGAGTCCTTCAGTTTCAGATGTGAGCTGATATGTCTTACTCAAGTGTTGTTTGGACACTGTTTGGGAGTTAATGAGTGAGCAAATGCTCACAGTTAAGTGGCCAGTTTTCTTGTAATCCATTTATATACATCTGGTTCACATGGTAAATTTTATCTGATGCAGGACACGCCAGTTTTGATCATCGGTCACCACATCTTACAAGGGAAGGTCGTCGTTCTTGAAAAACCTTTAGCAGTGATTGTCAAAGCTCCAGACCAACAACAGAGTGCAGATCTTTCTACGGCAGATGATGCACATCCCAAATCCAAATTTAAGATCAAGGACACCAGCTACAACATCCAGGCCATCATTAGACGCAAGATTCTGTTCAAAACCCGGCCAAAGCCAATTATTGCCCATGTCCCTAAAAAATTGTAAATGGAATGTAAACAATAAATGTTTTAGGAAGCAAGCCCCAATAGCGTAGTGATTAGATGCTAACCTGCCGGCTCAAAGTTCAAGGGTTCAGATCTATATTGGCACATATTTTCTTTCATAATTGACCTTGGTTTCCAGATCAACCCTGCTTAAAATAGGTACCAGGAAATGTCCTGCAAAATAAGTACAGGCAGCGTGATGTTGAAAGTATCACCTATGGAGTGTTGTTTGGTCTGTAGAGACAAATATTGATCTAGCCCGTGCGGCAAAGAGCATCACATCGGGAAACTGAAAATCAGTGCCTGCAGCTTCAAGTCACTCTTGTCAACACAGTTTGTAAATTTTTTTAAAGTAGCCAATCTAAATTTCTATAGCAGGGCTGTTGTTATTCATCCATCAGGACCACTTTTCATCCAAAGTAGTAATGATCAATGGTTATGAGTACGAAGGTGGCTGATTAGTCCAATATAAGTCTGGAAAGTTTTTGAGCTGTGTGGACAACAGGTGGAAGCTGCAGTAAGTGTTGGATTAGCAATACGGTTCTTTCTAGTCTGCCTCCGTTTTTCTGCCTATGCAAACTCTGCTGCCTGGGATGTACACTCTCCAGAACGGTCTTGTGCGGCAGCCTCCCACGTCACTGTATTGATGCCAAAAGAATTAAGAGCATTTTGAGAATGTCTTTATAGCACCTTTTCTGTCCTTCCTGGGACCTCTTCCCTTGCTGGAGCTCCCCATAAAATACTCTCTTTGGGAGCTAGGTGACCAGCCCAAAGCAGCTAATAATTCTTCAGTATTTTGTGGATGCTAGGCAGGTTTGCTCTATCAAGAACCACAGTATTTGTTATCTTGACATTTGATGTTGAGCAGCTTTCTGAGATGTTATATGAAACTGATTCAACTTTTTAGCATGCTGCTGATACACAGACTGCATTTCGCAAGCATAAAGCAGTACTGGAAGAATTACAGCTTTGTAAACCTTTAGCTTTGTCAGCAGGGAGATAACCACTTCTGTTTAAGACACTGGTATAAAGTCTGCCGAAACTGAGAATTGAGATTCTAGCTGTAATTTCATCGCTGGTGTTGACTTTCTGAGATAGGGTACTGCCAAGAATAGCAGGACTATTTATCTAGTGAACCGCAGGCCATATATGGCCTTCAGATCATTACCAGTCGTATTGTGTTCATGATCTTTCAATGCTGGGGCGCAGGCCTCTGGCCCTCAACGATCGCCATTTTCACAGTTGTGGCCCCTAAGTAAACACAATTGAATAGACCAGATCTGTAGGTTTTTGGTAATACTTCCAGGCTTCTTGCTGTGTTGTGTGTCCTGTCGTTTAATAAAACTGATATCAATTTTAGTTGCTTATTTTTATCATCCATGTCTTGTTCTTAACAGTTGTCTGATGGTTAAGAATACTTAGCTTATGTAATTGACATATTTGAGTTTTGAGGTGATTTGTTAGAAAGTGAATAAACTGACCCTTTTCAGGCAAGGACATTTGGTACCAGACCCATAATGTTTATAGATCATTCAAAGAGTTATGTTTCCTTTGTGGGTTCCAGAACCCATTTTGGGGTTGTAAAAAAATAGACTAGACCCACTGCGGGAAAACACCCCTTCCCCCACCCTTCCCTAAACAGTCTACTAATCATAGGTTTATCTGTCAGAGTGCATCTGCCTGAAAGATGCATACAAATAAGTCTACATACAAACAAGTCAGATCTGTAAAACAGATGTGTACACACAATTCAAGTTCTTGAACAAGACCAGAAACCCAAAAGGGGACAAACAACCAGAACTTGTCAGTCTGAGTTTGCCACCAATCAATGAAAATAAGAAAGGAAAAGGGTAATGTGGTCAGCATCCCGCCATCTTTTCTGTTCAGGACATTTCCTCGTACCCATTTTAGGCTGGGTCAACCTGGTGGCTGGTGTCATTTTGGTTTTTTCAAAGGATGTCTCTGCAAGTTTAAATCCAGAATCTGGGGGGGGGGGGGGAGCGGCAAGCATGCAGTGTGAGTACAGCAAGTATTATCTGAGAACTGATATCAAAATGATTTTGAAGTCACAAAGTAATTCATGAGTGGTTGAAATATGTTTTCACAGAAGTGACTATAGAATAGTTTATTGTCTTGAGGTGATCTGTCTGAAATAATTCCTGAAATCGATCAAGCATCTGCTGTCATATCTGGACCTTGAGGTTTGAGTGAGTGACATTTCTCTGATACAGATCAAGTATGCATATTTTACTGTATATAGCCACATACAACTTTGTGTCATCGAGTCACCAAGTTATTCTGGACTTTTCCATGGGTCATTCGATTTATTAAGATGTTAAACACTTGTGTATTTTTATTTATGAGGCCGTCCAACCTGCCAGATTTTCATTTGAGGTCTTAGCTGCCTATTCTTCCCCCTGTACCGAGCCCTTCTTCTTCTTCTTTCGTTCGCCTGAAATAAGTTTTCTGAATCAGCAGTTTTGTCTCATAAATGCCACTGTCGTCACTTTTAGTTCATTCAGTCGTGTGTTATGATTTTCACAAGACTAGTAGATCTTGCGACAAGTCCACAATCTTGTATTTTGCTTGTGCTTTTTGTTGTTGTTGTCGTTTTTGATTCAGTTTACTTGCAGCCATGTGTTAGTTTTAAATTGGTTCATGTCTCAGTTTGGGAACTGTATGTATATGAATAATTGCAATTTTAAGAGCATGCATCTTCCCTGTAGCAACATACGGATGTGAGTCATGGACTCACCACTTATTAAGAAATAGGATAGTTTTTTTTTTTTTTTTTAGCTGAAATGCTATAGAAAATTCTCAGAATACTATGGACAAAGAAGAGAAGAAATATTGACATTTTAAAATATATCAGAACATCAGGGAAGATTGGCTAATAAACAGCATCTTGTCTCAGAAGCTGAAATATTTTGGTCATATCAAGTGCCATGGCAGATTTGAAAAAATAATACGGAAGGCATGGTACCAGAAAGGAGGGGCAGGGGCTGACCAACACAAAGGTGGGAACAGGATGTAAGTGACTCCTTGAGTATGAAAGTACATGAGGCAGGAGAGCTGGTCAGAGACCAAGTTTTTTTCAGACAGGCTGTGATGAGAGCGACATCTGCAAAGAACCTGCAACATGATGATGTACATAAATGTAAGCACTCCAGGATAATGTTTCATTATTTCTATATAACCATTGATTTATTGCAGCATTGTGTGTTGTGGTTAAAAGCTTGCATGTCTGGCATTTGCTTCATTGTTTCACTGTTACTCTTGGTTTAATACAGATGTTCTTAATACAGTACTTGAAATTGAACATTACCACATGTTGTTTACACGGGTGTATTTACATGTCAAATGTCTGTGCTGCATTACCCTCCCCTATGAAAGAGAATGAGGAAGTGGCTTGTGTGCATACAGTAATCAGCAAAAAGTCAAAGTAATCTGTTGTTAATATTTTATTGCAAAATTTACAACCATATTTGTGTTGCACACTTCTATGTGGTGATAATGTTGGAACAAGTCATCTCTCTCTCTTTCTCAGTCCCTCTGTCTCTCTTTCACTCTCTCTCTCTCCCATCCCCTCCCCCTTTTTTTTCACCATACATACACATCAGATCTAGTTAGAAATGTCCCAACATACTGTTGAGTGTTAAAATATAAATATCATTTATCAAACCCGGTGCAATGACGATGATCCTTCCGACTATAACCTTCATGGAGGTATCAGAACAGAGCGCAGTCTGATTGGCTAGTCAAAAGATATACTTGTCCAGACCCATCTCCTTTTTGAGTGTTACACACATCAAGCAGATGAAATGGTTCGGACATGTGTCAAGACTACCAGCAGGCAGTGCACTGCAGAGAGCCCTGTCACTTAGACATTAGAAGTGAGTCAAAGCCCCGGTGACAGCAGGAATGAATCATGTCTTCTTTTTTCTTTCTTCTTCTGCCTTTCTATCCCCCAATGGAGCATTGGCCCTCAACCAACTCACGCCAAGTCGTTCTATCCTTCGCCATCGCATGGAGCTCTCCCCATGTCCCCCCAATCCCTCTAAGCTCGTCTTCCAGCTCTTTTCTCCATGTGTTTTTTGGCCTTCCTTTATTCCTATGCCCCCGTGGGCTCCAATGCAAAGACACTCCAGCCATGCCGTTCTCCTGTTTTCTCAGTGCGTGCCCCATCCAACGCCAGCGTCTTCCCCTCACCTCCCGATCCACCGGAGCCCGTCCATTAGTTATTCTATCACACCATTCCATTCCCTCCACTCCGCGCAGGCACCAGTTAATGAATGTCTGTAATCTATTAGTAATTGCCTCGGCCGTTCTCCATGTTTCCGCCCCATAATGAATCATGTAGCCAATCAAAACTTTTCAGTTTGACATGCCTGGTCCATGTCAGTGTGTTACTTACGTGTTTGTTACATCTTACAGACTTGTTTGTAATGTGTTTGTTACATCTTACAAAACTGTTTGCTATGTGTTTGTTACATCATTATGTATTTATTACATCTTACAAAAATGTTTGTTACATCTTACAGACTTGTTTGTTACATCTTACAAAACTGTTTGCTATGTGTTTGTTACATCTTACAGACTTGTTCATTATGTATTTATTACATCTTACAAAAATGTTTGTTGTTTGTTACATCTTACAGAATTGTTATGTGTTTGTTTACATCTTACAAAATTGTTTGGTATGTATTTGTTACATCTGACAAACTTGTTTGGTGTGTGTGTGTTACATCTTACAAACTTGTTTGTTATGTATTTGTGACATGTGACTGACTTGTTTGTTATATGTTACTAATTTGTTTGTTACGTAGAAATAACTACTCAAGACCCAAGTCAAAGTCTGGATTTCCAACTTGAACTGATTCGAAGAATTTCAGAAGTGCGTCTGTTCCCGAAGATGTTGCTTTCACTGCCGGGACTTGGTTCATCGATTGGAACCAGTCTGCCAGTTTGGGGAAATCGTTCTTGGTCAATGTGCGAACTCGGTTATCCTTTGTGCCCGTGGCTTGTACTCTCTCAAGGTGTGGCCAGATGTAGAAGTCGATCAGAGATGGGGAAGTGTCTGTGGACAGAGGGGGACCAGTGTTAACCTGTATATAGACAGGAATGTGGTGATGTCAGTGGCACAAGATTCTACATTGGTTGGCACGTTACCAGATGACAGTGCTATAAAAAGGCATGGGACTCACACCCATGCTATAAAGAGACATGGGACACACACCTGTGCTATGGAGAGACATGGGACACACACCTGTGCTATGGAGAGACATGGGACACACACCTGTGCTATGGAGAGACATGGGACACACACCTGTGCTATGGAGAGGCATGGGACACACACCCGTGCTATGGAGAGGCATGGGACACACACCCGTGCTATGGAGAGACATGGGACACACACCTGTGCTATGGAGAGACATGGGACACACACCCGTGCTATGGAGAGGCATGGGACACACACCCGTGCTATGGAGAGACATGGGACACACACCTGTGCTATGGGAGACATGGGACACACACCCGTGCTATGGAGAGGCATGGGACACACACCTGTGCTATGGAGAGACATGGGACACACACCTGTGCTATGGAGAGACATGGGACACACACCCGTGCTATGGAGAGACATGGGACACACACCCGTGCTATGGAGAGACATGGGACACACACCTGTGCTATGGAGAGACATGGGACACACACCTGTGCTATGGAGAGACATGGGACACACACCCGTGCTATGGAGAGACATGGGACACACACCCGTGCTATGAAGAGGCATGGGACTCACACCCATAGCCCCTGTGACTAGCAAGACCCACCTACATTAAAGAAAAGTATTCCACAATTGGAGCATGGGATTTCAGGACCGTTGTTGCCATACATGAATTTAATGTACTTCTTCTCCGACTCAGCTTCTGCAATCATTTGTTATCCTTTTCCCACCTCCACTCAACATGGTTCATCTCATTTTTTTTCCTCCCACAAATCTGCCTCAATAACTGTATCATTCATTTCCTGCTTGCGCACTTTATATCGTAGTAGAGGTCGACCTTGAAATCTTCAACCCCTCTTTATTTCACCTTAAAGGATGTCCTTAGGGACTCTACAATCCTCCATTCTCCAGCTGTGACCCAACCACCTGAGCCTTCGTATATGAGCATTGAAAAAACTTTTTGTACCTGCACTTTCCAATACCTCAGTGTTGGGTATCTTGTCTTGCCATTTAATGACAAAGGTTAGGTACTGATTTACACTGTCAATAAGAAACATTGTGTGTGTTATATTTAACTATGACTGTGGGTGTCAAGAGTGAGCTGTGTGCACCTTGAGAATCTGTCAGGGATCAGAGTTGGTGATCATCGTATAAAATAACCTGTATTATATCTCGATAGCAGCAAGTCACAACTGCAGCAATAATATTTTTTTAAGTACAAAAATTGGTCTCATCTTGAATAATAGCAAATAATGGTAAAATCATAGCCAGACTTTTTTTTCAGAAATGACCTTGGCTCCGAGATCGACCTAGCCTTGAGTGGATACAAGGGGCAGTTCTGGGAAGTAAAGTGGTCGGCATTACTGATCGCATCACCCACCAAGTGCTGATTTGGTCTATAAAATATAGGTGCACAGTATTGACACTTTTACAAGAAATTTTGTGGTCTTTACCAGCATATTTTTTCTAGGGAAGAAATCCCTGGTTTCAGTCATAGAGGAACCTCTCACAAACTCAGCCAGCATTACCTCCGAGGAAGGGACCCCCTCTCTTGGCCAGGTGATCCTCGTAGAATTGCAGATGTTTCAACAGATCTTCAACATGCTTGTCTGTGTCTCCAGTTTTCAGTAGCAAGCCGTAGAAAGGTGCGGTTACCTGAAAGAGTCATTACTGGTTAATTCTTTCATAGGTCATTTGTTATTGGGTTCATCAGTTTATTTTGTTTGGGTTCATCGGTTATTTTTGTTTGGGTTCATCGATTATTTATTACTGGAGTCATCAGTTACTACTGGGTTCATCAGTTATTTGTTACTGGAGTCATCCGTTATTTATTACTCTAGTCATCAGTTATTTGTGTTAGTAGGGCTAAAATATATGACAGAACCTCTAATGCAGCTAAACAGACTCCAGTGAATCAAAAAATGCCTTAGAAGAGCTGCAGGAGTTTCAAGGAAAGACAGAATATGAAATCAGACGAATGCTAGGAATAAAGCCAGTCTTACAAGTCATCAAAGAACAACAAATGAAGTGGTTTGGACACCTAACAAGAATGCCCTGGTACTATCCGCCACAGCGAGCCATAACAAAACGTTACAACGGGTATAGAGCGAGTGGAAGACCTTGGAAAATATGGAGTGATGGCATTAAGAACTGCCTTACAGAAATGAGCATCAGTCTTAATAGTGCTCTTGACAGAGCTCGTCAACGAACATTACATCTTCCCCCGACACTTCGATGAGGTACAAGGTGGAAGAGAAGAAGAAGAAGTGAATCAAAAGATGAGCAATGACGCTGCAACTAGATAGGACACACAATGGTGTAGACATGAAACTGTCAACATTGAGATCTCATTTAGAATAGTGTTCTTCACAGACACTAGTTAACAAGTATTTGTAACTACTTAGTAATTGTTTTAGTTCACCATTTCCCCACTGCATTCTGTGTCTGTTTGCTAATAGAACTAGAAATATACGGTCATATGAAGTGCCATGGCAGATTAGAAAAAAAAATAACTTGGCGTCCACAAGGAAGGAGAAATAGAGTAAAACCTAAAAGCATGTAAAGAACAGAGATAGAGTCGGGGGGGGGGGAGGCGGGAACTGTCCCGCCAGGCTGGTCTAAAATTATTATATAACCTGGTCCCTGAGCTCACAAAATAGAGAAACACAAGAATATATATTCGTTTGCACAGACGGGGAAAAAATAGCAACATTTGATTCTGCCACAAAAATGTAGTGTTACAAGGAATTCTGTGTGTCTATAGAAGAGGGATAGATTAGGACAACGAAAGAAGATTTCTTGAGTCTTGCTGCATGGCATGGAGGTAGGTCAACACACGAACTGATACATGCTACAGGAGATCGTGGAGGGGCATGATCGCCCTCGCCAGTCGGCAAGGCACCTGACGATGACGATAGTGTATGTTTTCTATATGGCCCGCGATCTGATTTATGACCTAGAATAAAAGACAACACACACACACACAAACAATGACACAAAGCCACATATAGGTAGGGGATTCAAACATGCCAATGGAAAATACTTTTGGCCGGAATCATTGTTGTTTTTTTAATTTTATTTAACTACAGTCGAGTCCACTTAAGTCGAACTCGGATAAGTCGAATTTCGGATAAGTCGACATGACCAGCTTACTCCCGGCAATTTTCTCTATTGTGTGTGCTGTCTGGATAAGTAGAAATCCTGCTAAGTGGAAGCATTTTTTTAGGTCCATGTGACTTCTACTTATTCAGAATCGACTGTATTTATGAAGTTGAGCAGACAAAACCCCAAATATGAGACGTCAGAAATGACTAAACTAGCTGCATAGTTGTCGTTTGGAAAGAGCCACGTAAACTCAAACCTTGCTGAAGTACTCCAGTAGGATCCTGTCCCAGGCCTTGCGGTATGGATCGCTGGGTTGGAGACGAGACTGTGGGTAAACATCATCCAACCACTCGCTGGTTGCCGTTGACTCGTACAACACTTTGTCGTCAAGTTCCAGCGCCGGCACAGTCCCTTGGGGGTTCTTGGTCCAGAACCAGTCCGGCTTGTCTTTGAGGTTAATATTGACAGTTTCGTGGCTGAAGATAGAAAGAACGTCGTACAGCTAACAGTGCCGTCTTAGCAGCATTAGGGATAAAACCTTGTACTAGGGCCCCAGCTACAACCACTCACAGGAATGACATTTTATTAATGGAAAGTCACGCGACAAACACATTAGCATTGGGGATCTAGGCTGGAAAATCCCAGCTGGTCTATGCATTTAGGAGGGCGCTGACAGCCGGTGCTCCCCCCCCCCCCCCCCCCCAACCCCCTTTTTCCAAAAAAATGCATGTAAGCAATAAGTGCGGTTTTCACCATTATGTCGATCACAGTAGAGCTAACACACACACACACACACACAAGTAGCGGTACTGGATACTGCCAGAGAAAAAAATTTCATACAAACAACTATCGTAAATTTGTGCCGTGTGCTGATGAACGCTTTCTATTCGCAACGTTCATTTGTTGTTCGTGATTGTCATGTAGTGAAGCTAACTAGCTATGATTTTGGTTTGGACTGATTGTTTATGCGGGACTGTCACAGCTAGAATCCCTAAGTATGTGTGTATATATGCGTGTGTGTGTTGGTGGCATATGTCCTCACATACAAATGTGTGTGTGTGCGTGCCGTCATCTACTTACGGAATATTCTTGTGCGCCAACACTAGTCTGGTTCTCTGGGCGTATGGACAGAACCTCATGCTATACAAACGTAAAACGTGTGGCTTTGTCGGCGGAAATGTTGAACCTGCGAGAGACAGAAATCTGGTCAGTTAGATCTTTCAGGAAGAGGGGGGAATAGACAAACACAATCCTATGTGACTTCAGAGATGTAGTTACACAGACGAATGCTTACATTGCATTTTCATCTTATTCCTCTTCTTCTCCTCTCCTTTTTTTTTTCTGCCGTTAACCCCCACCCACCTCTCAGTGACGCAAAGGCCCTAAACTAACTCACGCCGAAATTTGCTATCTTGTCCTATCCACCTTTTTAACTTGGCTCCGTCTAAGTAATTGTGTTTTTCTGCCATTTTTTTTTAAATTCTTGTCTGATTTCATATCAGCACTCCCCCGTGTGGGTTCCGGGGCCCCATTGTGGAGGAAAACCAGAATAGACCCACTGCCTCCCCAAAAGCATGTCGTAAGAGTCGACTAATTAGGGAGCTTCCTTTGAAGTCGGGGTGCGTCTGCCGGAGAGGCAAGGAACCAACAGTCTGTATTCAAGAGAATGAGATCTGTAAAACTTATGCACACGCAACACTCAGGTTCTGGAGCAGGACTGCAGTTCAGTAGTGGACGATCAACCAGAACTTTTCGCCAGAGTGTACAGCTGGTGAACGCGAAGAAGAAGAAGAAGATATCAGTACTGCCTTGTGCAGCAGAAACAATGAGAACAACTAAATAATGACTACTAAACTAAAAACATCCATTAACTGGTGCCTGTGGAGAAAAGAAATTTAACAGTAAGATCAAGTCACGTATGATAGAGAACTAATATTCGGTTTAAACGGTAGGATCAAGTCACCTTTGATAGAGAACTAATATTCGGTTTAAACAGTAGGATCAAGTCACCTTTGATAGAGAACTAATATTCGGTTTAAACGGTAGGATCAAGTCACCCTTGATAGAGAACTAATATTCGGTTTAAACGGTAGGGTCAAGTCACCCTTGATAGAGAACTAATATTCGGTTTAAACGGTAAGATCAAGTCACATATGATAGAGAACTAATATTCGGTTTAAACGGTAGGATCAAGTCACCTTTCATAGGGAACTAATATTCGGTTTAAACGGTAGGATCAAGTCACCTTTGATAGAGAACTAATATTCGGTTTAAACGGTAGGATCAAGTCACCTTTGATAGAGAACTAATATTCGGTTTAAACGGTAGAATCAAGTCACATTTGATAGAGAACTAATATTCGGTTTAAACGGTAGGATCAAGTCACCTTTGATAGAGAACTAATATTCGGTTAAGAGAAAACGCTGGCCTTGGGCGGCAGCATGTTATGTCATTGTACATTCAAATTTAGTAGTCTAAA